CTAAGCTAGCCACGTGCAATAGACGCGTAGCGCTCTTTTTCTCTCACACTGAGCATTCTCCACTCCCACAACAAAAGTCACGGAAGAGATGAGCGCCCTGCCAAGTAACCTAAGGCAGTGTTTCCCCAACCATTATACAAGCAGGGCGTCTACTGCCCCTCCTTGCCCCCAATCGAAAACTATCAGCACTGACATGGCGCTAAGCTAGCCACGTGCAATAGACGCGTAACGCTCTTTTTCTCTCACACTGAGCAGTCTCCACCCCCACGACAAAAGTCGCGGAAGAGATGAACGCCCTGCCAAGTAACCTAGACCAGTGTTTTCCCTACCATTATACAAACAGGGTGTCAACAGAACCGAGCGCCCTGCCTACTGAACTGCCCCCCCCCCCCCCACTATAACTCGGTTGTCAACTGCAGTTGTCAGCTAGCGCGGTTGTTGGCTAGCACTAGCCAACTAGTGCTAAGCTAGCTGCGTACAATACAGACATGCTAGATAAAGTACGCGTTTCCCTCACGCTGAGCCGTGTCTCCCCACTCCCCTCGCTCGGTACAAACGGTGCTCAACACAGACGTGTCTCCGTCGCCTCCACTCCCCGCCCCCACAAAAATTACACAACATTATGGCGCCCTGCAAAGGCAAGTAAACTAGTACCTGAACGCGTCGCTTGAATCCAAAGAGACATTTTTATTATTTTCCGGCGTCTGTCACTAATGAACTTTGATCGTGAGCTTAAAACGTTAACAGGAAATTGTGGAACGTGTTTGAAACGAACAGCAAAGCGTTAATTGGCACAGATTGAATGTTTCCAATATAAAGTAGCTTGGATACGTTGACAACAAAGTTTTTTTTGTTTCGAACTGGAACCCCGACGTAAAATAGAACTGTTTATTGAAGAGTGGGGCGTTCGGTTTCCCATCTCAGTTCAGCAAACGGCTCTTGAGCACGTCACAGGACGTTTAATTTGACAGCTGGTGAAAATGTAACGCTTGTGTTTGCTAAGATCAACAGAGTCAGCAGAAACGTATCATTAGCAGATGGCGTCTCTGTGGCTGCAGGGCGGTGATTCCTGCGCTCTCAGCGTGCGTTAGAGCGTCTCCGTTTGCGTTCTGTTTGGACAGCAGCAGCCCCTCTGTTTGCACACTTCTTCTTCAACACTTATTAGGCCACGTCGCGCACTCGTCTACTGACTGCCACGCCACACTCCGGGATCTTCATGCTGTTTGGGAGCTGCGAGGAGAAGCTGTTCCCGTAATGAGCTCGGGACAAGCCATCTGAAAGGTTTGTTATTCTGACTGCTCAGTCATTCCCACTCCCAGTTTGAATGTTTTCTGCACTTTTGTAGGTATAATTTGTGTAAAGCTTTACAGTAAGAAAGTTTTTAATAATTCAGTGGGAGAATGTTGGGGGAGAAAACCGACTTCTTTCACAGCAGAGAGACGATTTTGTTGCCGACATCTAATAAAGACCACTTTATTAGATGTTTGACTTCATGAGTCTCCTAATAAAAGCAGAATCTTTCATTTAGGGTTTTATGTAAATCTTGTCAGAATTACTTATTTTAAGGTTTCATATGTAGCACATTTTCGTCATTTCCCATTTTGATGAAAATAATTTGGACCTTGTGCTTTTGCCATTATTCTGTCAGAGTTTATTCAAAGCAAAACTGCTAAAACTAATATTTATTATGATAATATATAGAAATATCGAAGTTACAACTTACATTAAATATTTTATCGTTTCATATTTTCTTAAAGAAGCACTGTTCTCAAACTGCAGGTTTACTCGTGGCTCCTAGAGTTTATAAATGCAAACTGGGAGCTTCTCTCTTGTGGAACCAACTTCCAGTTTCTGTCTGTGAGGCTGACACTTTGCTTTTAAGATTAGGCGTAAGATTTTTCTTTTTGGTAAATCCTATAGTTACAATTAGCTTGTTTTTTTGAGCTATCCTTTAATTATGCTGCTATAGGCGAAACTGACCACATGTCTTCACACGGCTGCTGTCTTTACTTGCTCTATTATCCATGTTTGTATTCATTTCCATCATTAACATGTTTTTCTTTGTATTTCTCCACATAGAAACTAAACCTGGACCATAGGAACTACACCTGGACCAGCCATTTTATTGTCGGGGTCTCTTTCCTGACCTCTCTAACCCCAACCAGTCGAGCCAGATGACTGCCTATCCTGAGACTGGTTCTGCTGGAGCTTTCTTCCTGTTAAAAGAGAGTTGTTCCTTTCCACTGTCGCCTATGCGTTGCTATGGATGAGCGATTGTGATGAAGTGGAAATCCGATGCAAACCATTAGCTTCCTCAGAAAGATAACTTTTACCAATTGGAAGTTTACACTAAGAATGGTTCTGTAAAGTGCCCTGAGGTACATGAAGGTACATGAGGAGTATGTTGTGAATTGGCGCTATATAAATAAACTGAAATGTTATTTTGTTCATGCTAATTTTGGTCAAAGCTATAAATGAACTGGAAGCAAAGAACTGCGTGTGGTCTACAACCATAGGATGCAGACGCTTGCCTTTTAAAAGTGGTAATCGATAGGGTTGATAACAGGAATTCGTTTGGTTTAGTGTCCTTTGATTTACTGAAACTCACAATCATTTCACACAGTGCGAGTTGATTTAGTGGTTTTTTTTGTTCCGTGTTCGTTTGTTTTAAACGCTTTATATTAATTCTTCAGTATTATCAATAGTATGTGGTATTTTTTTTCATTAATTTTACTCCCATTGATGTTATTGCTAAGCACTTTGATAACAGTGTCCGTTTTAAATGTGCTCTATAAATAAACCTGAAAACTTGAAGCCTCATGTCCTGGGCTTAATTTGTAAACTGATTGATGATGGAACAGCGGACAGGCTGGGGGTAGGGGGGGTCCGTGGATCCTCTCACAGAAAATTTTGAACAACAGAGATGCCATTTCCTGCATTTTGGTGTATTTTAACAGGTTGTCATACATCAACATTCACCTACATTTTGTAGACACTTAGTAAAAGTACTATTTTGGAGAAGAACAGCAGGTTGTGTGTGAATGGAGCAGCTGCGATTCTATTAAATGTACGAAACCCCCCTCTCCTCCCTCCCCTCACTTCACGGTTCTGAGCTGAACTCATCTCCGATGTTTATATTTCAGCCTGAGTTCAGTCCTGGTTGTTGCTCTTGCTCCAGTCTCGTGGCACCGTTTGAAGCACCTGAAGGCTTCAATTCTCGGTTGTTGCACCATCCATCCATTTTTTTATTAAAGTAAACTGGACTGTCTTTTTGACATTTTGATCGCTGTTATTTTGACAAATGCTGGATCGATAATGACCATGGATTTGCAACTGGGGGGGGGGGGGTCCCTGGTGGCGCAGCGGTCGGGGACGCCGTCCACTCTGTCCTCATTAAAAACAGCTCGTGTGTTTGTGGGGAACGGTGAGCAAGAGGAGATGCCGGGCGAGGAGCGACACTTCTGACGTTCGTCACGATGTAAATTAACCATCGGTGTTTGTAGCCGAGGATCTAACCGTCATGTGAGCAGATAGAGCCGTCGAGTGAAACGGGAAGAGGCAAGATTTTATTTTTTTTTTTTAACGGAAGTGAAAATGGCCAATTTCCTTGAGCAGCATGAAGTATGTGTAGGTTTGTTGGTACTTTGGAGCATCTCAGCAGAAAATTGGCTGAGTTTTGACGATACGGCGGGAGTCCAGGAAAATGTCAGATTTATAAAACTGTTTGTTCCTGTTAACGAGCTCATCAAGTCACTGCTTCTTTTTGTGATCTGAAAGGAAAATTACTTTTTTATTTGGTAGAAACAGTCGGGAGTAAAACAGAATCTGCCCTCCTTCAGTCCAAGCGGACCATATCTCACATTGGCTTACCGCGGCCTTTAAATCAGGCTCAGGTTCTGGACTTTGACTCTTTTCTTGAAAGTTTGGGATTGGTCTAGACCAAACATTGGATTCTAAAACCTATGAAAGACTCTAGAAAGTATGTTAGACTGGTACAGGACATGTATGAGGACAGTGGTGAGATGTGCTGTAGAAGTGACAGTTAGCTTCAAGGTGGAGGTGGGAGTGCATCAAGGATCCGCTCTGAGCCCCTTCTCGTTTGCTGGAGAACCTGACTGCCGAGATCCTGGAGCTGGTGGAAAATTCTGCTCGTGACAACAGGAGGACTGGGATCATCCCCCTGCACCTTCAGCTGTCTGTCCGCGGTGACGAGGAGCTCGGCAGACTGCTGGGAGGAGTGACCATCGCTCCGGGAGGGATTCTGCCCAGGATTCGGGCAGTCCTGCTGCTCAGGAGGGCCGAGAGGCCCACTGGATCTGGGTGTACGGATTGGTATCTGTGACCAGATTCTTCGACTTCGCTGCAGGAGCTCCTTCTTGTCCACAGCTATCAGCTTCTATAACAACTCTTGAATGAAACCAGGATGATGAGCTACGACAACACTTAATTTCCCTCTGGGATTAATAAAGTATTTTTGAATTTGAAGGTAGATCATCAATATATTAATCCCATGTATTTATAAAACTATTTATGGTATTGATATTGATTTTTATAGTAATACTAGAAAATGATGTTAACATGATTCTGTTGTACACGCCAGGTTTCCTGTGATGACGAGCTACCACTAGGCTTCAGGCCCAAAGAACCCGGAGCCTGAACCGGATCTGTGTTGTGTAGTAGGAGATGCTGTAGCCTGCTTCCTCCACACCCATGACCCCCAAAGACTTATTTAGTCTTTATTGACCAGTTGACCTGTTTAAACCCCGTGAACTTAACCGGACTACTGCCCTTGTCTTGGTATCATGTGAACAGCATTTGGATCTAGTCTGGATAATTTGGGAAATCTGTCTATTGAAAGATTTTGTGTTTATGGAAATAATGAACCAGTTGATTGATGACATTGATGAGTTTTTTAAATTTTTACATCTATCCACTTTACCTTTTCATTAGCATAATATATGTTACAAATACAGATCAGCAGCGAGAGTCGATTTAGCTTTCAACAGTTTTTCCTTTTTCTATTTTATGACATCATTGTGCATTTTGTTCACTTGAGGTCCCAACAATCATATTTTTGTTTATATCCTTATACATAAAACTCTTAAAGCTGAAAGAGGGTGAACTTTCTGGGGTTTCCCCAAGAAAAGTGGCGTTTGGTGCAAAACGTATTGAAATGTACAAAGAAAATTCAAAATTCAGCAAAACAAGAAGTTACAGAACTTATTAATTCCCAGCTCATTTACAAATTAAATGCCACTCTTTGTTATCCGACCCTTATTCATGCTGATCCTGGAATATTCATGAAGAAAGGTTCCAGCTGTTGGAAAGCTGAATCGGGTCACGTTATGCAAATCGGAGCGCGCCTCTCCAAGAACACAAGACCGTATTACGCAACTCCTAAACGAGGTCAACAGGCGCTCCATCTCCTCCTCCACCAACCCTGCATTCTGAAGGTTACGCTAAAGATTTAAAAACGAATAAACACGTTGTGTTATAAACAACAAGCACCTGCAGGAGGGACAACATCTTCCCCGGCATGTGCCACCTCCTAATGAGAGCGCTGGAAGCAACGAGAGACAAGTGAATAATTAAACTTCCGTTTTAATCTTTAATCCTGGTGATAAACGTCAGTAGAAACCTATTTGCCCCGACTCTCCAGGGGGATACTTGTGAGCTTTGAGATTGTGGTGATACGATTACATTTACAGGCACATTGCTAACGTTCACTTGAGCAGGTCGAGGGGCGAAACGAAGAGTTGGAGCGCGACGCCGCTCCTCAGAGAACGTTTGATTTCTTTCCATCGCGCCGTGAGAACGCAACGGTTAAACTGTTTAAGTATTTGGAGAAAGGCTGCAGAGCTGTTGGCGCTCGACTTACCCGCTGTGGTTGTGAGCACGTCCGTCGTGTTTCTCAGCCCCATGAAGTCAAACTGGTAAAGCCTCCAGTACTTCTGGTCCGAAGTCTCCACGGAGTTCCTCTTCCATTTGTACAAGATCTCGTCTCGCGGATAGCCATCTGGAACGCACACGGAGCAGCTCGTCAGCCCAGTCAGAAAAAAACAGTTACCTACAACAGGTAAGATATTCTTTAAACCCTTAACATAGCTACAAAACGTTCAAACTTCAAATATCTCAACTTTTCTGTACATACCTGCAAATGTACTGTGTGTATGGGGCGTCTGTGAATTTAAGGGGGCGTCTTACATTTTTCTGATTTAGTGACGAGCCTACTCATAAAAAAAAATTTAAAAAATGACGTGACATCATGCAGCCTGCACAACACAATTACTGCGCCAAGTAGGGATGCACCGATCCACATTTTTTAACTTCCGATCCGATCTCGATACCTAAATCCAAATATCGCCCGATACCGATCCAGTTCCGATATCATGATCATCATTGATTTTATATGAGGCTGTAATAATCTCCTCAAGTACAATTTGTACAAATATGGCCGGGGTCGAGTCGCCTGTTTCGGGTTGAGCAAGAGCAGCGCCCCGCTGAAGCCACGGAGCTCGAATGTCCATCGTAAAACTAACTTTACTGCGGTTTAATGTGGCGCTATGGCTCTGCAGACATTGCACGTTGCTGTCTTGTTTTATGGTGTTTCTAGAGTAAAATACTTCCACACAACGGACATGTTTAGATGAAAAGTTTGTTAGCTGTTAGCCACAGTGCTGCTAACTCAGTCCTCACGTTGTAGCTGCTGCAAACTATGGAATGGATTTCCTGAATGTGAGGCGGGTCTTATTACTCTGGGCTCATGAGACACGTCTCCGTTCAGGAAATCCATTCCATAGTTTGAAGCCAACATGCATCATGGATCGGAAAACTCCGATGCGTAAATTACGCTGGTATCGGAGGCCGATACAGATACTGGATCGGATCGGCCCCATCCCTAGTGCCAAGCAATAGTGACACAAACAAAAAAAAAAGCTAGTTTTGTCAACCTGCAAGTATTTATTAAAACAAAATTATTTACAGGTTCCTTCCTACCTTGGTGCCACCACACTTTCTACCACTTTATAACGTTTATTCCCCTTTTCTCCCCATTCCACTTGGAATAACATCCATCTCCCTTCTCCCATTGTTTCCCTTTCCACTGTTCCTTTCCCAAACACTGATTTTACCAGTTTAACTTTACAGAAATCTTTTGTTACTTGGCTTCTTTCTCCTTCCAAGATATTCTCTACGACACCATCAGCTGGACTTTTCAAATCTTAGGGTAAAGTCTCGGTGTATGTGGCAGACACATTGTTCAAACGTCGACGTAGCACTAAGCTAGAGGCGCACAATACAGACATGCTAGCTAAGATGCTACAGATATAGTGCTTTGTTTCTCTCACGCATCCTAACCATCCACCACGAGGTCAACAACTGCCGGCGTTTATGTAGCACTAAGCTAGCGCTATGCAAGTGCTCTGGCTTACCGTTCACGAGCTAGCGCTAGCTTTGTTGCGAGCTAGCTAGCGCAATGTAAGTTGCGCTAGCTTAGCGCGACAAGTCCGGTCAAATGGAAAATTATGCTATCACGCCTCTGACCACACCCCATCCCCCACGGAAAAAATCTTTGGATCTAGATGATTCACGTAAAGGACATACTTTTGATTGAAATTGGCGATTTTCGCCTAAAAGCGACAAGTTTGCAGGTATGTTTGTAAAGGGATCATTACTTTCACATATTGGCCTCAATGTTTCCCTATTCTACTAGAAGTGGTTGTGACAGGAAAACCCCTAAATACTTACAGAATTGTACGTTTAGGAATGTTGCCTTATTTTACTGAATCAATGCCTTCTGGGGTGATGATCTATGCAGGTTGGGGTAGATGCTAAAACACAATAAGTCAAGGCTAAAATGTTATAATGTATGATAATAAAGTTGTATTTTCCATCAGTCCTGACGCTAACGTGACCCAATGACCCAAACTAGGACAAGCTGCAGATTTGGATGGATGGAATGACAAAAGGTATCTTTAAATCTTTGTATTATATGTGAATATGACTTGATCGTTGTGAACAGCTTGTGACAGAAAGCGAAGCTCTCTGCAGCATCGTCTCTCTCATCAAAACAGCTCTCACTTGTAAATGAGTCTCAATGTGATTTATCTTTATAAATAAAGGTTGAATGAATCAACGTCTCTTCGGCCCAACTCCTCTTCATCTGTTCAGTCTTCGTCATTTCTCCATTCTCCTCTCTGCCAATGCACTCTGGTGCAAATTAAAGGACTGAACGTCAGACATTGCCAAAAGTTAATGTTCAAGCTGGGTTGAGGTCGCGTCGGAGCAACCAGTCTGTTATATACCCAGAATGCAATGCAGTTTAATCAACATGACAACATTCGTGTGACATAAACTTTTTTTTTTTTTTACCTAAACAGCCTATGTATTGTTACGGTGGCATTTTTATAATTGAAGCAAATGTCTTTTAAATAAGATTGTTTTTGTTCCCTTAACCAAACGCTGCTCGTAGTAGACGAGCTACGACTTCCCCTGAAGGCCACTTTGGTGGTAAAACCAGCACCTCTCTGTGCTGTCACTGGTGGAGACTAGCCGACTTTCGTAAGAAGTCTTGCAACGCATGCAAGGGTTTTTTGATTACCTCACACAAGTCACACATTCAACACGTTGGAGTTGGTGCCAGTGTTTCGAACTGGTCCCACTTTAGCTTTCGTAGATTCTGGAGCACTAGAGCCTCCTGCATGGGCCCTCTTCTAAGACCATTCCAATTATAAATAATGATTTTTAAAAGTGGTCCAAATCTTGACTGTCCTTATTTCTAAGTGTAAATGGACTGTACTTGTATAGCACGTTTGGGTACGATGTGGGCGGAAGAGACAAAATAATGTGCGCAGCCTAGAATACAGATTTGCAAGCCAACTGCTATAATCCACTAATAATCCACTAAGGATTATTGTGCTGCCCTTTTCTTAGACCTGTCTAAAGCTTTTGACACTGTGGATCAGAACATCTTGTGTCATAAACTCTCAGAAATTGGTTTCTCAGAACACACCATTGGTTGGTTCTCTAACTATCTTTCAGACCGGAGGCAATGTGTTCAACATAATGGTACTTCCTCCAGTTATTTAACAGTCAACAATGGTGTACCACAAGGCTCAGTCTTAGGACCCACCCTCTTTACAATCTACATACATAATGTAGGTAAAAACATCCCTAATGCATCCATACATTTCTATGCTGATGACACAGTTGTTTATTGTCGAGCTAAAACTGTTGCTAAGGCTTTCCAGCTTTTGAAATCTGCATTCAACATCATCCAGACTGATTTGTTCCGCCTCAAACTTGTCCTAAATGCCGACAAAACCAAAGGGATGCTTTTTCCAAACAGGAAGTTGGTACCAGCAGTTCTTCCTCCCATTTTATCCTCAAATGGTGTCCCCATTGAGTTTGTTGATTCCTATAAATATTTGTGTATCTTGGTCGACTCACATCTCTCTTTTAAGCTCCATGTGGAAAACTTGATAAAGAAACTGAAAGTTAAACTGGGTTTCTTTTTCAGAAACGGATCCTGTCTAACCCTGAATGTTAGGAAACACCTTGTATCTGTGACTTTCCTTCCCTCAATTGATCACGGTGACATTATTTACATGAACGCTCCTACAAGAACCCTGCAGATGTTGGATGCTGCAGATGTTGGATGCTGCAGATGTTGGATGCTGTCTATCATGGTGCACTAAGATTCATAACTGGCTGTGATTATCGTACCCACCACTGCACCCTGTATTCACTGGTTAACTGGTCACCATTAACTTCACACAGACTCTCCCACTGGTACATCTTCATCTTTAAATCACTTCTTGGTCTGCTGCCTTCATACATCTCCTCCTACATGTCTCTGCATGAGTGCAGCTACAGCGTGCGCTCTCAGGACATCATTACCTGCAGTGTTCCCTCAGTGAGGACTGAACTAGACAAAAGGACCTTCTCCTACTCCGCTCCTGTTTCCTGGAATATCTTGTAAAAAGATCTGAAGCTCTCGACCTTGACCTCTCTAAGTGGCTTCAAGAATCTGTTGGACTCCTGGCAGGGACCAATGCAGACATGTTCCTGTTTTTAGTTTTCTACATTCGCCTTAGAATCTAGCTGTTTCTTTTTTTTTCTTTTCTTTTTTTTTGTTACCTTTTCTTTTTAGCCATCCTATTTGTTAAAAAAAATTAAAAAAAATAAAATAAAAACCTGTAGTATGACTTTTTATAATTGTTTATTGTTGTTGCTGTTGTCCCTTGTTGTCATCTTTCGTTGTTGAAATCAGGTCTCTCTTGTAAATGAGTCCTCGAGGCTCAATGGGATTTACCTGTATAAATAAAGGTTGATTGATCTGCAAATCAATAGGTCTTTTTTTTTAAACGTGCCCATGCTAAGCCATTTTAAGTTGCCAACTAGTCTCCAACAGTCTCAGTCCAGTTCATAACTGCTAGGATATAACCAGGAAGAGGCTGGGAGTTGTGCCAATTTACACACTCTTACACAAACCTGATTTACGTCAGTACTTTTCCATTGAATGGTTATTCTCAATAGCTTTGAAAAGTCTTAAAACACACACTTGTATATGCAAATCTTTGCTTGGGGACATCAGTAGACGTTTTGAAAATTACACATCTGTGAAAGCTAAAACTGCACTTAAAAAAAGCAAAAGGTAAAGTAACTTACAAAAATTAGGTTGAAATCTGAGCGTTCCTGGTTTGTTGTGGCAACGAAACTAATTATGTAAATAAGTTTCATCGAGACACCATCTATAACCAAGTGGCGCAATCGCAAAAACACAACAGAGCTTTTATTTTCTTTGGTAAAACCAATAAAGTTGGCAAATATTATTGCCATCATTTTTCTTTTCGTGTGTTTGTCCAATTATCCGCACTGCAGACAGTGTGCTCATTGTGTTACCGGTGTATTTTTGAAGCTACAAGACATTTCATACGTTTAAAAGCCCCCTGAAGCAACATGTTCTTTCATGATGTTATAAATCACACCCTACTGAGGCCTGGGCTTTTTTTCTGT